GTAGTTATAAGTAACAATAAATATACATAGATATGAATTAATCGTACATTTAAAACAAAAATATTGTTAAAAAAATATTTTACTTAGATGGACACCTTGGATAGAGAGAAAACTCCTTAATTATATAATAGATTCTAGTGTAAGAAACAACATGCATATTAAATTGTAGGGGAGAAAGCACGATACTATATGTGAAATTAAATTTATGGATATTGTCGAAGGTATATATTATTTATACAAAATAAATTAAATATTAACGAAAACACAATTGTATTGAATGAAAAATTAAAAAAATTACATTATTAGGACTATTTAAAATTTTTTTTTTTTTTAGAAATGCCTTTTTTGAAGTGTCACTTTTCAAAAATGACACATTTTCAAAATCTTTGCAAAATGCCACTTTTTCAAAATTATTTATTCTATGAAGTAATCTTTAAGGAATAGGAGAACAAAGATTCTGAAAATCCGTCATCTTTCTTTTTGCTTTAGAATTCCCTTTAGGTGTAGGCATTGGGATATTAGGTGGTTTAGGTGCCTGATCTTTTTGTTGTTTTCCACTAGGCCTAGGAATGTCCCGGTCTTGGTTTCTCCCATCAATCCCCTTCTTACTTGTCTGCTTTGATATTTTCCTAGGAGATGGTTGGATATTTGCTATTTGATGTACTCGAATTTAAACATCCTTAACACATGTTTTACTTACCAGTTTTAGACATTATACTTGTAATTGACATGTTTTGTGCATATAAGCCAACTTTTTTTTTTTTTGTCACTAACATACTTCAATAACTTATCAGCTAGATAAATACATGAATTGTATCAGTAAACCAATAAGGGATCGAAGTGCCAATAAACGAAAAAATCTATTTTGCGTGCGTGCAGTTCTGGCAAGCAAATCCGCTTTCTTATTATTCTCCCGTTTCCGGTAGATAAGTTCGAATTCGGGGAAGGAATCCCTGAGGGGTGCCAAATCACGTAATTCTGGGAGAAACCCGGGCCATTCATCAGGTGAGTTCACCATCTTCACCAACTTCGTAGAGTTGTAATGAACCTGGAACAAAAACGCCGTTTTCGAAGCAAAATTTTCATCGCCCAAATGAGCCCACGTAGCTCTGTATGTAGAGGTGAGATACTTCGCTGATTGCCTTGTAGCCCGAGCATATTAGTAGTGCCATCCTGGAGTTGTCGAACCCATCCGACACCACTAGTGCTGTCTCCAACTCTCCAAAAACCACCAATGAGGTTGGTGAATGTGCTCGGTGTCAACGGGGCTCTCTGAGGAAAGGTCACTGCACTGATGTGATCCGTACTATTCGCCTGCATCCACTCCCTAGCCTCCTTTGCCACCCT